CCGGGCGGGGCCGGGGACTCCCGGGGGGCGGGGCCTGTTTGGAACGGGGCGTGGTTTAACGGGGCATGGGCGTGTCAAATCGGGGCGTGGTCCGTGGGGGCGTGGTCTGATGGGGCGGGGCGGCGCCGCCGCTGCAGGGGCGCTCGTGAGCGATCGCGCCGCGCTCGGCTCGCTGTGCCTGGCACGCTGCGGGGACCTCTGTGCTCGAGGCGTCGGGGCTGCGGCTGGACGCGCTCCGTGATTGGCTGGCGCGGGAGCGCCGGCAGCGCCGGCCGGAAGTGGCGCGGCGGGGCGGGGGCAGCGGAGCCGCCGAGGTGCGGGGGGACAGCGGGGACAGCTCGGGAACACCGGGGACAGCTCGGGGACACCGGGGACAGCGGGGACAGCTCGGGAGCACCGGGGACACCGGGGACAGCTCGGGGACACCGGGGACAGCTCGGGAACACCGGGGACAGCGGGGACAGCTCGGGAACCCCGGGGACAGCGGGGACAGCTCGGGAACACCGGGGACAGCTCGGGAACCCCGGGGACAGCGGGGACAGCTCGGGAGCACCGGGCACGGGGAGCCGGGAGTACCGGGCACGGCTCGGGGTTCGCGGGCTCTCGGGGTTCGCGGGTCCCCGTCCCGCGCTGACCCCCGCGCCCCGCTGGGTTCCAGGCGCGGCGGCAGAATGCCACGATGGCCGCGGGCTGCCCCCGGCTCCCGGACACCGTCCTGTTCGAGATCTTCCTGTACCTGGACCACGCCGACGTGCTCTCGGTGGCGCTTGTCTGCCAGCAGTGGCGCGCCGTGGCCCGCGACGAGTTCCTGTGGAAGGAGCTGTTCTACCGCTACTACCGCGTGTCCCGGGACGTGCCGCGGCACCCAGGTGCGCTCCGGGAGCCGGGCACGGGCCCTGCGCTGCCCGCTGTGCGCCGGGCCCGGGCTGAGGTGGGCGCGGCCGCGGCTCTGGGCCTGCAGGGGCTGTCAGGGGCTGCCGGCGCTCTGCCTTTCCCCTCTCCGCACAGGGAAGGTTCCCGAGCTCGCTGTAGCTGCTCTGTGCAGCTGCTGTGCAGGGGGATCCCGGGAGCTGCAGTCAGTCACGCGTGCTGCTGCAGCCCGGCCTCCTGCAGGGAGCCGTGCTGCAGCTCTGCCCCTGCCCAGCTGGAGCCGGCCCTGCCACGGTGTGCAGGGAGCTGTGCAGGGAGCTGTGTGTCTGTGGGACAGCTGGGGACACGTGCAGAGCCAGCAGCTGCCCCACAGCCCCACGGCACACTGGGCCTGGCCTGGGCCCTCAGCAGGAGCTGACAGAGCCCGGCAGGGCTGTGGGGAGCCTTGGGGGTGGCAGGCGTGTGGCACAGCTGTGCTCCCTGCTGGGCAGCCCTGCTGGGAGCTGTGTGGTGCAGCTGGCAGGATGGGCCGGCTCTGTCACCCCAGCTGCACTGGCAAGGAGCCCTTGGTGCCCAGGGGGTTCTCTCTGAGCAGCCATTGCCGTGGCTCGTGGGGGGCTGTGCGAGGGGCACTGCTGTGGCTGGGGAGGTGGATCCTGGGTTCTGAGTTGCAGTGGCTGCAGAAGGGCAGACAGAAATGCCAAGGATCAGGCCCTGGGGGCTGATCTTGCAGCAGGGACACCACTGCAGAAGGGCTCGGGGGAGGTGGATGCCAATGGGATTCCTCCAGGCTGTGTGACTTTGCCCTTGCAGACCCTGGGAGCTCCATGGGCTGAGGATGTTCTCTTTAGGGTTTTTCTGAAGCCTTTTGACCAAGCTTGTTCCCTCCCAGCCTCCTGGAGCTGCTTAGTCAGCTTCCAGCCCTGTTCTTGGGCACTAATTAGGATCAAGCAGTTGGTGTAGCCCAGTAAGGTGTTCAGGCACCTCCCTGGCTGCTGGAGCTGTGGGCACCCTGCACATGGCAGCAGGACAGGGACAGCTGGCAGGCGTGGGCAGGGGCTGGAGGCTGAGTTTGGGGAATCTCTGCCAGCCTGGCTGCCCTGGGCAGCTGCATGGCTAGAGGAGTGGTGTCCAGTGGGCCTGTAAGATGACATGTTGGGTTTGCTTGGCCAAATGGGGCCTGCCCAGGCTTTTCCCAGCTGGATGGGCTGGGACCAGGAGGTTTGGAGGGGGTTGAGGCCTTGAGCAGCAGTGGGATGTGCTGGCAGCAAGCTGGTCCCTGCCTGCAGGAGCAGCTGGGCTGCAGCGTGTTCCAAAAAATCCTTCAGTCCTGTTCAGTGTCACTAGGAAAGTTGGCCCTTGTCCATATACATGTCTAATCCTCTTTGCTTCTCTGGGATTTGCTGCTACAAGAAGTCTGTAGGCTGCCTGGCCAGGCCTTTCATTAAAAATGTTCTTTATTTGTTTTTTATTGTCCATCAGTAAGACTCCCCTCAGTGTGCCCCAGGCTGTGCTCAGCACACCATGCCCAGCTTCTGTTCTTCTCTTTCATTTTTTCAAGTCTCTTATCTCATGGAGATGTTTTTTTCCTGGTCCCAGACCCTTTCTAGAGCTGTCCTAATTCTGTGTCAGACAAGACAGAGGTAATCAGTGCAGAGCTGGCTGTGGTGAGGAGCAGCTTCCCAGCTTCCCTCTTGCCCCAGCTGCCTGATTTGGCTGTGCTGGTGCACGTGTTCCTTCAGGACTGAGCAAGGTTTTGGTCTGACAGCCAGCACCTCTTCCCGGGCTGTTCCAGCAGGGGCTGTGCTGGTTTGGGAGGCAGAAGTGTGGTGTGGAGCTGTCTGTGTACTGGAAGAAAGGGGGTTTTGTAAGTGGGAGTAGGGACCTGCTGAGGAAAATGCTGAGGGCTGATAGCTGAGCTGCAGCCCTGGGCTGTGCCCCAGCACAGCTCCTAGCCTTGCTGGCAGGAGCCAGGGCTGGTTTATTAAAGCCTGGTGCCGTGTTCAGCCCAGCCCTGCTTCCCTCCTCTCACAGCTGTGTCCATGCCCCTGCTCTGTCTGCAGGTGCTGTCTCGTGGTACGATGAGTTCCAGAGGCTCTACGACACCATCCCTTGTGTGGAGGTGCAGGCCCTGAAGGAGCACAATGACCAGGTTTTGCACCTGAGCTTCTCCCACTCTGGCTGCCTGTTTGCATCGTGCTCCAAAGACTGCACGGTCAAGGTAAAGTGGTAGGTGCCCTGTCCAGCTTTGCAGCCTCAGTCCAGTGGGGCTCAGCCCTGAGCAGCCTTGGGGAACTCTGTGGAGAGGTTGGACCAGATGTCCCTGGATTTGGGCTGGTTCCTGTGGGTGCTGAGCTGTCTTCTAAGCCATGGAACTGATGGCTCTTGCAAATGTAGCCTTGAGGGCTGTGTGTTCTAGCTCCAGCCCGAGTGTGTGTGGAGGTGGCCGAGGTGCTTTGCTTTCTAGGTGCAGATCAGTGTCCTGTTGTGCCCTGGGTCTGATGAAGACTGGGGAGATAGTGATCCACTGCAGTAGATCATGTCTTCCCTGAGTGGTTGTCGTGGGAGGAATCTGTCTGAACATGCTGGAAACCCAGCTGTGGTAGCACCATTCACTCCTGCCTGAACACCTCCTCTGGCCAATGGAGCAGCAGTTCTCCATTTGGCCCCTCTCCATTTTCTGTCAGGGGACTGGACAGGGATGTGGTGAGGGGGAGGCAGTTAAATGGGGTTTTTGATATGGTTTGTTTTTCATGTCCCGTTGAGTACTGGCAGAACAGATAAAGCAGAACCACCCTCAGCCTTCTCAGCAGCTTCCTGACTGTCCATCTCTCTGTAGATCTGGAGCAATGAGCTGGACATCTCCCTGCAGCACAGCTCCAACATGAGGCCATACAACTGGAGCTACACCCAGTTCTCCCAGTTCAACTCGGATGACTCCCTCCTGCTGGTGTCCGGTGTCTTTGTGGGGCCTCACAACTCCTCCTCGGGGGAGATTGCAGTGATCAGCATGGGTAAGTGGGGCTTCCCTGGGGCTCCTGGGGCATACGAGTGCTGGGTCAGGGGGTTCCCTTCCTCTTTGGGTGTGCAGTAGCCTTGTCTCAGCTCCTCCTGACTCCTGAGCTGAGGGGCTCCAATCACGGTTCTAGAGGGGAAGCCTCAAAGACAACCTTAACTCTGTGTGGGTTACTACAGCAGCACCTCAAGGCAGTGTTTTGTGTATTTATCCTCACTTCTCTTCTAAGTGCCAGGCTGGGCAAGGGTTATCCACGTCACGTATCTTGGAGCCTCTGCCTCTGGCACATGTGGTGTTTGGCATAGAGCTACAAAACCCCAGAATGGTTTGGGTTGGAAGAGACCTTAAGGTTCAGCTTATTCCAACCCCCTGCCATGGCAGGGACACCTCCCACTGTCCCAGGCTGCTCCATGCCCAATTCAGCCTGGCCTTGGGCACTGCCAGGGATCCAGGGGCAGCCACAGCTGCTCTGGGCACCCTGTGCCAGGGCCTGCCCACCCTCCCAGGGAACAATTCCTAATTCCCAATATCCCATCCATCCCTGCCCTCTGGCAGTGGGAGCCATTCCCTGTGTCCTGTCCCTCCATCCCTTGGCCCAGGTTCCACTCCCGCTCTCCTGGAGCCCCTTTAGGCACTGGAAGGGGCTCTAAGGTCTTCCCAGAGCCTTCTCTTCTTCAGGCTGGACACATCCAGCTCTCTCAGCCCATCTCCAGAGGAAAGTGGCTGCATCTAGCTCTCACCTTTGTGGCCTTAGTCTCACCCTTAGGTCTCACAGGGCTTTCTGAGGTGTTGTCACCTAAGCCTCTTTCACTTCTGCAGCTCTGTGCATGAGGCTTATCCCTCCTGTTACCTCACCATCTTTGTGCAGAGTCCCACAGTACAGGCAATCAGGAGTGCAGCAGGAAGCAGGAGAGCACAGCTGCCTTGGCTGGAGAGGCCCCAGGCCGCAGGGGTGGGAGGGAAATTCTGTATGTGTTTAACTCGTTCTTGTCCCCAGGACCTGCTCTGGGCCCCGCTCAGGGAAAGGGTGGGAGGTTGAATTGCTCTGGCTCTGTGCACTGCCCTGTTATTTTGGTTTCCTTTGTGCATGGATCATCACACATCTCTGGAGAAAAGAGAAATAATCTGTTTCTGTAGCAGTGGCTGGGAGCTGCATGGGGGTTGGCCTCTCCTGCAGAGACCTTGATCCACTTCCTCTGTCCCACGCGGTTTCTTCAGAGCTCTTGCTGGAAGTCACTGCCTCACACTCATGTTTCCCTTCCAGAGAACTTCACTCTGCTTTCCAGGGTGAGGAATAAGCCCTATGATGTGTTTGGCTGCTGGCTGAATGAAACCAACTTGATATCAGGCAATCTGCATCGGATCGGGCGCATCACCTCCTGCTCGGTGCTGTGGCTGAACAATGCCTTCCAGGTGAGCTGCTTTCCTTCCAGCTCCACAGGCAGTGCAGCTTCCTGCTGGCTGCTGGGGGAGGGAAAGCTGCAGGGAAGGATGGCTCAATCCTCCTGTCCTCCCTGTTTGTCTCCTCTGACTTGCCCTCAGGATCCTGAGCTCGAGGCAACCCTTGCATGAGGTTTCTCCATGCTCAGTGCTGTGGTACTCACTACAATATTCTAACTCTGCCCTCAGATCTCATTAACTTTTGCCACATTAATTAGGCTGAGATGTTTGTTGGCTGCAGTGCTGCACAGCATGCATTGCCCAACAGTGGGGCTGCTGAGGTCCTTGATAGTCTGAAGCTGGTCCTGGGACTGCTGTAGCCTGGCATGTGTCCCAGAAATGGCCCTTCTCCCACTTGTGTGTTTGTGTGAGCTGGAGGCTGAGCTCAGTGCTGCCTGGCCTTGCTCAGGTTTCTTGGGCCAGGTGCTGTCTCTGATTCTGTGGTGAGACTGGGAGCACCGAGTGTGCTGGCCATGAGCTGCTCCTTCACTCCCTGGCACTTGGGCTGCTGAGTTGTGTTCACCATGTTTTGCCTCTGTTTCAGTGCCACACCTGCTCATCCCCATGTTTTGTGATTTTAACAAGATGCTAACCCCAGGTAAAATCCTCTTGTAGCAGGGACTCTTCCCACAGCCACATCTCCATGCTACACTGAAGCATTACACCAGCATTACACTTTCCATCCCTGAGAGGTCAGGAAGGACCTTGCCCATAACAGGGGTGTGGGAGTACAGCTGCAGGCTGGGAACAGTGAGGCAGAGAGGGACCTGCTCTGTGTGTCTGGAGCAGATACCAGGCTGCCTCTGCTGAGGGGTACAAGCACACTCCAGGAGCACAAGGATTCTCTGCCACTGCTGTTGTGGGCCAGAGGGATCCTACTTCATGCTTATCACAGAGGCCTGTTCCTGAAATCCTTGTCAGTCATAGAATGTAGAGCATCCTAAGGTGGAAGGGACCCACAAGGATCAAGTCCAGCTCCTGGCCCTGCACTGCAAAGCACCAGGTTGCACCAGCTGATTACCTCAGGGTATGGTGGCAGCAGGGCTGCCCAGCTGCTGTGCTTCCTTGCTCCACTGCTGCCTGCCTGCAGGAGTGTTTTCTCTTGCTCTGTCTCCATCCAGGATAGGAAGGAGCTCAGTAGAGCTGGCAAGCCTGGGGCCCCTTGTTGTGTCAGTGCCCACACACGGCGTGGAGGGATCCGTGCAGGCTGGTGTCACTGCGCTAGCTCAGGGCTTGGTTTGAGCTGTGGGAGTGACTGGGGCTGGTTCCTGCTCACTTCTCCCCTCTGCTTGCAGGGCATTGAGTCTGAGAATGTGAATGTAGTGAAGAGACTGTTCAAAATCCAGAACCTGAATGCCAGCACCATCCGGACTGTGATGGTGGCTGACTGCAGCCGGTACGATTCCCCGGATCTGCTCCTGGACTACGAGGAGCAGCTGGCTGCTTCCTCCACCTGCCCGCTCTTTGATCTCGGCAGTGACAGTGAGGAGGAAGGGGCCAAGCCCAGGCCGCCTCCGGAGCCAGCCGTACAGGAATTGCCGGATGCTGGGGCTGTGCCAGCGGAGCATGGGCTGCAGCAGCTCTTTGATGGTATCATGGAGGGCCACGTGAGGCCTGCCCTGACCGAGACAGAGCTGGAGACAAAGGTGGCCGAGCTGTTTGTGCGAAACAGAACTAAACCGCCCGAGCCAAACCTGCTCCCCACAGACAGCAACAGCAAGACAAAGTACTTGATCTTCACCACAGGATGCCTCACCTACTCCCCGCACCAGATAGGTAAGGCTGGGTCTGAGCCTGGAACAGCCGGGGCCCCCTGGGGGCCTGGGCTGCAGCTGCGCTTGGGATTTGGGTCTTTCTGCCCAAAGACTTGGTCTTTTTGCCATCTGTTGGTGAGCTGTGAGCTGGGGTTTGCTCTGGGTTCTGAGAGGCCCCATCACTGTGGGGAGTTTCACCTCCTCCACTTGCCTGAGGGTTGTTTTGTTGCTGCCAGTATGACACGTGGCCGAAGGCATGGCAAGGGCTGAGCAGAAAAGCAAGAAGGAGCTTCTGGTTAAGGACATCAGCCATGAGCAGCAGTGGGTGCAGGGGCAGGACAGCAGCTGCCCTGCAGGAGTGTGTGGAGGGACCTCGGTCCTGTTCTCTTGTGGGGGTAGACAGGGCTGGTCTGAGCAGCATGGGGTTGATGTGTGAGTCACTTGTGCAGTGCCCCTGCCCCTTGCCTGCCTCCCCTCTGCCATGGGTGGGATCACCCTTATGTGGGCATCCAGCCTCAGTGAGACACTTGGGACTGGGGATGTTTCCAAGGGGTTATTCACTGCCCCAGCCAGTGTTTGTGTGGTGGGCAAGGCAGGTTGCAGCCTCCTCCACTGTTCCAGTGGGGTGCAATGTGCTGTGGGTGCAGCATGCGCCAGGCTGTGGCATTGCTGGTGACCTTGTCCTGTGTTAGGATGTCACTGGCTCTCACCTGGAGCACCCTTGTTAAGACAACAGGTCTAGCAAAGCCTGAATTTACAGGAAACCCTGTGGGGAGCTCCTCAGTGGGGAGCAGGAGCAGGGAGACTGGCTGTTTCCCCAAGAGACCCTAAAGGTGACAGAGAGGTGGAAAGGACCAGGAGTGTGGGGAAAGAGGGAGCTGCTCTCAGACAAGACTGCTGTGAAGCCAGACAGTTTCAGTTCTTTTCACTGCTCACACAGTTACAGCCTTGCTTCCTTGCTCTCCTGACTTTCCCGTTTCATGGTCCCACACCAGTGCAGCCCAGTAAGGTGGGGAAGGCAGTTTCCAGAGCTGTAAGCAACTCAGTCTTTGCCCACCTCGGTTGGGAATATGACCTGGGCTGAATGAGCTCTGCTTCGTGCTCCTGCTGTGGGCTGGGTTTGCAGACAGCCATGGTGACTCAGCCCTGGGCTGAGCCAGGGCCACTCACAGCCTGCAGCCTGCCACACACCGAGGCAGGGCCTGTGGCTCCCGGATTCCCCCGCAGCGTCCCAGGGCTGAGGGATTTGTGCGACGCCTTTGAGCTCTGTGACTCTGGCTGGCAGCCAGCATTGCAGCACAGGCTGCTGCTTGCAGGGCTGGACACTGGCTCAGCTCCTGTCCCACCGTGAGTCACTGCGGTGTCGTTTGTCCCTTGGTTTGTGTGCAGAACTGGCCCTGTGCTCCTGCTCTGTGCCCACAGCACCTCAAGGAGCTCACCCTGTGCTCACCTCTCACTCTATGCAGTGCTGCTCCAGCATGAAATCGAGTTCCTGTTTCTCATGGTGATTCCAGGCTGAGCAGCCTGTCCTGCTGACTCATGTGTGTTTGAGTTTGGACAGGGAGCATGGTGCTGTGGAAGTGAGGATGAAGATGCTGGTGAGCAGCACCAGTGGGGTGGAAGAACACTAGTCCTGTCTCAAAGGTCCCAGGCTCAGGGGCAGAAATATTAGGAAAGGCCTTGGACATGAGCTGTAGTGGGGTGTCACCTGTGTCTTGTTGGGCTGCAGGAGATGGCTAAAATCAAACATGTTGTTAGCAATTCTCGCAGAGGGGTGATGGGATGGGATGGGTCGGGCTGGGCCACCTTCCAGCTCCCCCTGGACCTGCTGAGGATGAAGCCTGTGTGTGCCCAGGAGCTACTGAGGCTCACAGGGGTCCTCCAGGAAGCCATTGGGGATGCACCATTTGTGGATCTGTTTGTGCTTTGGACCTCTTCAGAGCTGGAAGGGGACAGGGCTTGACCCATCACTTGTCTCATTTAGTCAGGAGGTTCAGAAGCTACAAAGCACCTGAGCACAGTTTGGGTTTAAATGTCTGTACTTTGAGCTTTCTGGGACAGATCCCCACCTGCACTTGACAGTGTCAGGGGAAAACCCTGCCACAGCCAGTGCATCTGCTGGGCTGCTCCAGGCTGGCTACTGCAGGGAATGGGCTCAGCCCAGGCAATCATTTGGAGAAAAACCCTTCTACAACTAGCGTGTCTCCTGGGCCAACGCAGCTTCCATGTGCTCCAGAGATGGGCTGAGGCAAGGTTTGGCTGTACCCACAGGCTCTGGGATCTCCCTGGCTGGGGTTGGATGTGTCAGGAGCTTGCTCATGGGCAGGGTCCTGGTCCAAACCTGGTGAGCTGAAGGAGCCTGGCCAGGACAGCAGCCCTGTCCCAGACCTTGCACGGCAAGCTGGTTCTCTTTCTTAGCTGCACCAAGGGAAACCCCTCCCTGAAGCCTGGGGCCTCCCCCAGCCCTGCTGGCAGCAGCCTGTGGAACTGCCTCTGTCTGCTTTGTGTCCCACAGGGATTAAAAGGATCCTGCCCCATCAGATGACGACGGCAGGGCCAGTGCTGGGGGAGGAGCGGCGCTCGGATGAGTTCTTTGACTCCCTGGATCACGTCATCGACATCCACGGGCACATCATTGGCATGGGCCTCTCCCCTGACCACCGGTGAGCACAGAGGGCTTCAGCAGCTGCCAGGGTGGGCAAGGGCTGCTCCCAGGCTCTGTGGGGTGATCAGGACATGAAGGAGTGGATGGATTGGGTGCCCACTGATCCAGGTGGTGATGGTGTGTTGCTGCTGAGCTTCCCCCCCAGCCATGGCAGGAATGTGTTCCAGAGCCAGCTCAGGACAGGGTGGTTCCTTCTAAGAGTGGAGGAGTTGCCCACACCAATGTATCTTGTTCCTGAGGTAGATCACCCACAAAATCCTAGGATGGTTTGTGTTGGAAAGTAGCTTAAAAACCATCTAATCCCCACGCCCTGCCATGGGCAGGGACACCTTCCACTGTCCCAGGCTGCTCCAAGCCTCATCCAGCCTGGCCTTGGACACTTCCAGGGATCCAGGGGCAGCCACAGCTGCTCTGGGCACCCTGTGCCAGAGCCTTCCGACCCTCACAGGGAACAATTTCTTCCCAATATCCCATCCATCCCTGCCCTCTGGCAGTGGGAAGCCATTCCCTGTGTCCTGTCCCTCCATCCTTGTCCCCAGTCCCTCTCCAGCTCTCCTGGAGCCCCTTTAAGCACTGGAAAGGACTGAGGTATCTCTGGAGCCTTCTCTTCTCCAAGCTGAACACCCCCAGCTCTCCCAGCCTGGCTCTAGAGCAGAGGGGCTCCAGCCCTTGGAGCATCTCTGTGGCCTTCTCTGGAGTCAAGCATCTCCACATCCTTCTTTGGCTTCCCAGAGCTGGAGGCAGCTCTGCAGGTGGGGTCTCACCTGAACGGAGCAGGGCGGCAGAGTCCCCCTTCATGTGCTGCCCAGAAGACAGCCCCATCCCTAAAGATAGTTTCAGTGAGATTAGAGAGGTGTCACCTGACCCCTAGCGTCACCTTTCAGGTGCAGTGGTCCTTTCCATGGCCAGCAGTGCTCCAGCAGCCTGTTCCCTGTTTCAGCCTGGATTTCAGTGAGCTGGGCTGCAGGCTTCATCCTTGCTGTGCCGGGGGCTCTGTGAGCCCTGGTGCAGTGCAGGTAACCCTCCCTGCCCTCCCCAAGGTACCTGTATGTGAACAGCCGGGCCTGGCCGCGGGACTGCGTCATCTCGGACCCGATGCAGCCGCCTCCCATCGCCGAGGAGATCGACCTGCACGTGTTTGACCTGAAGACCATGAAGGAGGTGAAGCGAGCGCTGCGCGCACACCGGGCCTACACGCCCAACGAGGAGTGCTTCTTCATCTTCCTGGACGTCAGCAGGGACTTTGTAGCGAGGTGAGGGCGTGGGCAGGATCCTGATCCTGCCTCTGGGAAGGCCTGGGCCTGTTGCTATGTGGTGGTCGGGTGAGCAGAACACTCCTGCGTGCTGGAAGCAGAGCAGGGAGTGGGACCGGCAAGAACAGAGGGACTGACTTGCAAAGTGCTGATAAAGGGTGGCTGCCCTGGTCCTGCTGTAAATACCCTGCTGTAAATCCCAGAGGAAAGGGTAAATCTGGGGCTGTGGTGTGTTTGGTGGCAGGTGGCAAATGCCCTTCTTGGGGCTGCAGGTGCTGTGGGGTGAGCTGGATCCCAGAGGGAGCTGCCTGTGCAGTATGAAGCTCATGGAGACAGGGGCTTGGGTACCCTCTGCCCCCCTCCCTGTGGAAGGACAGGAGTGGGAAGGGCAGGGTGTTGGGGCTGCTGGGCTGACGCTGGGACCAGTGGGACACCCTGACCACTGTCTCTTCACCCCAGTGGGGCAGAGGATCGACACGGCTACATCTGGGACCGGCACTACAACATCTGCCTGGCCAAGCTGCAGCATGACAACGTGGTGAACTCGGTGGCATTCAGCCCGGTGGAGCAGGAGCTGCTGCTAACAGCCAGTGATGACACCACCATCAAGGTGTGGCGGTCCCCGCGGGCCGTGCGCATCCGCCAGGCCAGGAGGCCTCGGCCCAGGAAACTGCTCTTCTCCTGGCTCTTGAACCAGAAAAGCTGAACCCAGGTACATCTGCTCCTGCAGCTTCCTCACTGCAGCACCTCCTTCTGATCTCACAGAGCCCTGTGCCCCGCACAGGGATGAGCTCTAGGCACACAAATCCTATGGCTGAGCCAGGAGGGGCCCTGGCAGCAGGAGTCGCCTCCTCGAAGCATCGGCTTCAGACAGGACATAAGAGCTGGGGCCCTGTTGTGGTTCTGTTGGGCAGCAGCTGAGCTGGTCACTGCAGGGTGGGCTCCCACAGCTTCTCACCAGCATCGCTACTTGGGCATAGCTCTCTGGGTGAGCTCTGGGCACAGGGGACACTGAGGCACGTCCAGTGGGGGCCTGTGTGAGCTGGGTACGTGGCCAGCCACACTGGGAGCCACCAGCTGCAGAGTGGCAGGAGCCACGGTGCAGCTGTGCTGCCTGACTGCAGGACTCTCTTAATATTGGCGTTTTATTAATGTGTGTTTGTCCCAAAGCTCCACGGGCAACTCGTCTGGCTGCTGCGGAATGTCAAGTGCCTCTTCCCCACGGCACCTCTGCCCAGGAGGGCAGCAGGGACTGGGGGCAGTGAGGGGGCAGCAGGGCCAGGGCTGGGAGCCTGACTGGCCCCAGGGTCTGTGTATTGGTATTGCCAGTTTCCAAACTTGGGAGGGGGAGGGCTGGTGGTCACATGGTGCTGGCTTTGCCTCTGTCTTCCTCTGAGTAGCACTTCAATAAGCTATGGATCGGGAACGTATTTATTGTGGGGGATCTGCTGTCCCTTTCTGGGGTACCCATGAGGACAGCTTACCTCCTGCCCATGCTACCCATGGCACTTTAGGTTCTTTTGGAATGTTCTCTGTGAATAAGTGGAGGCACCCACAAGTGCTGCAGGTATTCATTCACCTGCAGGTGATGGGGATGGAGCCCTCCTGCCTGCAGCTGCTGCCCTCCTGACAGCTGAATAAGCTCCCTGTCCCTGGGGCTGACCCACCACGGAGGGGGTCAGCTCCTCCAGGACCCCACAGGCAGTGGGGATGGTCACTTGAGTTATTATGGACTCAGTGGTATTCACTGTCTGTCCCCTGAGCTTCTGTCCCTGTAGCAAGTACCCAAATGTCAGAGTCTAAAATGGCGCTCCTAATCTTGACCTGGCCTAGATGGGACCCTGAGGAGCTGCTGTTGCTCCTGGAAGCAGGGCTGGGAAGGAACTGCAGGGGGAGGCATTTTGGGGCCCCCCTGGAAGCTCCAGTGCAGGTGCCTGTGCCATTCCCAATCTGGGGTTGCTGATAAACCTGGCAGAGGTGGCATCTTCTGTCACAATGGCACTGATGGCTTTAACAGCCTCTGCAGCAGGAGGGTCAGCACCTGTGTCCTGCTGTGCCCCAGCTTCATCCAAAACCCCCGTACTCAGGTTTTCTGTCATGAAATTAGGGGTTCCTTCCTGTGTGTGCACACAGGCTCCACACCCTGCTCTGTCCAGTCACACAGTGAAGGAACAACCTCCCCTTCCTCCCCCAACTGTGAACTCTCCACCCGTGGCTCGGTGCAGCAGCAAGCAAGGCACTGAGGTGTTGTTTGTACTGAGTTTTGCTCTTCACTCTGGCATTGAATAAATACTCTGCTAAAGCATCTCTGCAATGTGAGCTTGTTTTTCCAAGCACTGCGCTGCTGAGGCAGAGCTGAGGCCAGGGCTGTCATGGGGCTGGGCTGGAGCACTGCAGGAGCTGCTGCCCAGCCTGTGGTTACCTGCCCTGGCCGGGGGAGTGTGGGTGGAGAGCTGTGAGCAACAGCAGAGAGGCAGGGGATGGCCCAAGGGCAGCAAGCATCCATGGCAGCCAGGGCTGAACACTGCAGGCTCCAGGACAGGCCAGCGGTTAGATCCCTCCTGAATTTATGTTTTTCCAAGCACTAGCAGGCACTAACGGGGGCAAGCAGAGAGCCCTCCAATGCTGTTTGGCATTCCTGTGCCACAGCAGGCTCCTGAGCTGCAGTGCCACTGTCCCCTCATTGCCCTTTGCGTCTCCCTGGTGCAGCAGCTGCTGATATGAAGGGGGTCTGGGGGCTTCCCAGAGGGGACAGGTGCCCATGGTCATTCCTTGTGTTTCTCTCTTCCATACCCAGTGAACAGAGGCCACCAGGCTGCTGCCCTCAGGTTTATGCCCTGGGCTGGTGCTGCAGCCTGGGAGGGGCAGGAACAGGCATCCTGCAGGCACTGGGCTCCCCAGAGCAGTGAGGGAAAAGCAGCCTGTTGTGGAGGAGCTCAGAGCTGTTACAACCCAGGAACAGGAGTGTTGGATTTGCCTTAGCAGCAGTAGAACCACTGGAACCACTGGCCCAGCACTGCTGCACTGGCTGCCACTGGCCTTTTGCCCAGTGGAGCTCCAGCAGCCAGACTCCAGCTCCTTCCCTTTCACTTACAGACTGCCCCTGTTCCCTCCTTGTCTGGGAATCCTCCTGCAGGGACACAGGAGCTGGGGAGAGTTCCCAGCACAGAGTTAATCCCCCAGCACAGAAACCCCCTGACCCTGATGCAATCCTTCCCATGCTGTGCCCAGCATCCCCTGGCTCATACACAGCAATGCTGTTCAAACAGCTTTTATTAGTGCTTCTGACCTTATTACACCCTCAAGGAAAACAAATCCTAGTTCACAGTGCCAGGCTGAGATAGTGTAGTCAAAAGGGAAAAAAAAAACCTACAAAAATCCAGGGGTGGCTTGTGTCCTGTGTTTGTCCATGTGGCTGCCAGAGCTGTGCCCAGGACAGGGCTGGGCCCCTGCCTGCAGCACATAAGCACAATTCCTGCTGCCAGCTCCAGAGCTGCTGAGAGCCAAAAAAGGCCCGGACGGCATCAGCAGTACCAGAAGGGTGGGGAGGAAAAAGCTCCCAGTGGGAGGGGTTGACAGGCCATGTTTCCCCTCCAGCAGTAAGCCCGTGGCCTGCGGAGCTCAGCCTGAGCTTTGCTGCAGCACTGACTCTCCCACAGACCTTCCAACATGTGCTGGGGCAGGAGGACCAGTTCCACCCCAAAAGCAGCCCAGGTGGCTCCAGCTGAGCCAGCATCTCCACAGTCCCTCCTGGCACTACCTGGCCAGAGCCCCCAGCCCCGCTGCAGGCAGCACCCCATGAGCAGACATTCTGATCAACACAGAACAAGCTCCCCCCACACAACTCTTAACTCCCAGAAATTCTATGAGCAGAGCTGACCTTCCTCTCCCTTCCCAGGCTTTTCCAAGCATCCCTGGGGAGCTGCTGTAGATGAGAGCAGGGCTCTGCTAGCCTGGATTTTCCTCATAAGGCACAGAGTGAGAGCAGCAACACAGGGCTTGATCTGTCCCTTTGGACAGGCTGGAGGGGGCTTTGCACAAAAGGAAGGGTCCTGTGACCCCTCCCACCTCAGGCTCTGCTGTCACCAGCCTCTGTCCCACTCCCCCAAGAGCAGGGGCTGGGTCTGTCCCCAGACCCTGCACACACATGTGACAAGTTCCATGCAGTGATTCCAAAGGGGGCTCACAGGTCACCCCAGCACCTGTTTGAAGAGCACCTGGCCAGCACAGCAGCCATGGCTGCAAGTTCAGCTTGGGCCAGGGTCCAGCTCAGCCTGCAGGGCACTGGGCACCCCTGAGTTCCTGGGCATGCTCACTGCTCCAAGGTTAGGAGGGTTGGAGGCCCCTGAGTTCCTGGGCAGCAGCAGGGACGTTCCAAACAGCCCCAGGGGCAGGTCAGGGCTGTGCCAGTACATGGTGGGACAGCCAGACCCTGCAGGGCTCCCTGCCAGGGCAGAGCCTGATGGTGTTCTGGACCCCTCAGGGTGGCTGTGCCAGAGCCAAGGTGTGAGCAGACCACAAGCCTGGCAGGCTCTGCAGCCATCAGACCCGGGCTGGGCACCTGGCAGGAGCTGCTGGCAGTGGAGGGCCAATCCCTGGCAGCCACTGAGGAGGGTGACCATGCTGCAGCCCCACGGCCCGAGGAGCAGCACAAGAGCCAGCCAGGGCCCCTGATCATTGCAGGGTGGTCACAGCTGGTTCCTGTCATCAACAAAACATCTCCTGTGGCACGATCAGCCACTGACAGGGGTGTGGGAAGCCCAGGCAAAGGAGGCAACACCCTGGATCAGGGCCCATCCAGAGCTACCCATGGCCACAACAAAGCTGCAGGAGGCACTATGCAGGGATGTGGCAGCCAGTTCTTCCCCACTAACATCAAGAGACACGTTCTCATGGCTGCTGAACATGTGCTGCCCAGAGGGAAGGAATCCAGGGACAGAAAAGGGACAGCACTCTTCACTTCTCCAGCCCCAGATCCTACCCAGCTGGCTGCAGATTCAACATGGGCCCAAGTGGAGGAAGAGCTCCAAGGTGCTGCCACCTGGAACCAATGGCCCATGACTCCTGAGCTCAGGGATGGGGAGGAACAGTGAGGGAGACCTGCTGCTGGTGACTGCAGGCACTGAGAGTGCAGGGGCTGGCCAGCAGTGCCCACTGCATGGGCAGACAGTACACATCCCACAGCCCAAGGCTGCAGTGCCCAGACAGACACGGCAGTGCAGCCACAGCTGGATGTGGAGCTCAGCAGCAGGAGCCCTGGGAAGGCTGGTGGAGCTGTCCCACCGTGGGAACAAAGCCAGTTCTGTGTCTTTGCCTATGAGCAAAGACAGCTCCCAGCACAGCATCCACCCCACCCAGTGCTGCTCGGCACACGGGGCAGAGGGGCAGGGCGTGGAGCTCTCAGTGTGCACACCCTGTGTCACCCTCCTCTCCTGCAACAGGAGGGACAATCTCCACAACACATTCACTTCTTCCCCACAGGCATCCCTGGTGCTGCCCCAAGGTCCCTCCTGGGCAGCAGCACGTCCTGCCCCATTCCACACTCCAGCACACACCACCCATCACACACCCAGCAAGGCTGGACTCAGGGCTCCCCTGCCCTGCAGCTGGGCTCAGCACCCTCCTAACACAGCAACGGCATCAAACCAGTCTGTGTCTCTCTTGCCCAGCTGGCACTGCAGCTGTCACACACCCTCCTTGTCTCCGGGGTGTGGAGCAACCAGCAGTGCAAAGCCATGGCACCCCACAGCGCACAGCTTCGAGAAACACGGAGATCTCAGAAGGAAATCCTAGACAGCTGAGCCAAAATCCACAGGAGGTGGAGCTCAGGCAGGGCACACCGCTGTTTTACTAGAGAGCTGTGGATGTCGGCTAAGCTGGTAGAGCAAGAGCTGCACTGGTTTCCACTGGAGTCCAGACAGCAGCAGTTCAGACATCCAAGTCTCTGCAGGGATCTCCCATATTCCACAGCCTGCCAGTATCCACCCAACCCTCTCCTCAGGAAAGAGGGCTCCTGTCAGACACCTCATTTCCACTCAGAGCAAAGGTCCCTTTCAGGAAGGGCTTTTCCTCTCTCTTTTCCTCTCTCTTGCTCTGAGACCTGCCTGAAGTGCAGCACAAGCGGGAGATGCCCTGGGCAGTGCTGGTTCCACACTCACTGCTCCAAGGTCAGGAGGGTTAGAGGCCTGTGAGATCAACGATGGCTTTAATAAAGATGGCATCATCACGCACGTAGGAGTTCTTGGCTTCCATGACGGACACGGGGCAGAAGAGGGGGCAGCCACTGGCGATGTTCATCTCCGTGACAGGGCGCTGGAAGGATGAGGATGTCACATCAGGGCGGAAGGCGTCGATGATGTGCTCCCGGTTATTCTGGTCCAGAAGCATCAGGGTGACCTGTGGGGAAAGGTGAAAGCATAAGGGAGTGGCTGAATAAAAGACACATGGAAGCCCAGCCCAGTGACCTGCTGTGGCACATGCAGGTACCAGCAGCCACAGCCACCCTGTGCACCTGCAAATCAGAGAAATGCCTCTGAGTGGGACCAGCAGAGAACATCACCTCAGTAATGTCCTCTAGAAATCTTCCCCATCCCCACATCCTGCCTGTTACTGGAAACTTCCCTGTGGCAGCACAAGTCTGTCAGACTGACTGAAAACCTACACTCCGCTCTCAGAACCAACACTGCACTCAGGTATTTCCCTGAGCCTGCAGAGAGGCCTCTTGTCCTCTCTGCATCTGCTTGTGCCCACTCACTCAGCCCCCATGCGTTCCACAAACCTGCAGTACCCAGGAGCTGGGATCTGAGCTCCTGACAGGGAGTGAGCACCTGCTGTCCCTGAGCTCTCAGGCCACCACAACCTTCCCTTGCCCTCCAGCCCTGCAGAGGCTCTGTGCAGTTCCAAACAGCCCATGTCACCCCCCTGCCCCACAGCACAGCTGGTGGTCTCAGCACACCTGGGGAACTCCCAGGGCAGCCACACAGAGCCTCTTCCTCCAAGCAGGCAGGAGTGACAGTGCTGAGAAGCTCGAGTGGGTGCTAAACCAGAGAGGCCACAGATGGACACAGTGGGCTCTGCTCCAGACCCACCTTCTGGTTGAAGGGCCAGCGCAGCAGCGCGTCGTTAGGTCCCTTCATCACCACAAAAAACAAGGACAGGTGGGTCCCGCGGCCGGTGCCGTCCCCGTTCAGGTACACGCGCAGACACATCTTGTAGCCGTACTTGCTGGTGTAGAAAGCTGTTAGAGAAGTGTGGAACAGGCACGGTGAGGGTCCAATGCAGAACAGCCTGGCACCAGCAGATCTCTCTGAACTCTGAGGGCTCTGAAGTTTGGAATCCGGGAGAAGCCAGGTCTGGGCTGCACCAGAGGTGGTCTGGACAGCCCAAGGCCAGGCAGTGCAGCCCCTGGCCAGAGCAGACGCTGTGCACAGAGCAGCTGCCAGTCCCCTGGCTGTCCCCTCACTGCCAGGGGAGATCTGCCCCAGAGTTGGGCCAATCCTCCTGCACCCCAGTGCTGAAGGAGCAGTGGTTCATGGCAGTAACACTGGTGACCAGGAACAAACCCCCTCCATAAAGCACCTGGCTGGCAGAGCACCCTCAACACCCCCACTGTGAGCTGGTGCCTCTGATCCGGGCAGGGGCTCAAGCAAGTGAACTTCAATTCTCATTTGGATCCCCACGGCATGGCTTGGGCATGGCTGGGATGGGATGTCAGGCACTTTCCTTCCCCAGCAGTCCTGGGAATGCCTGTGGTGTGACACTAGACCTATGTGGGGTCACAGCTTGGAAGGGGACCTGCCACAAGTTCCCCTCCCACAGCAGCACAGAGCTGTACATCTGGGACTGGCAAGGCTCAGCGGGCACAGGCAGAGATCAGGGGTCACAGCCAATATTTTACTGCAGGACTTGGTGCTTTTCCCAAAAGGCAGACTATGAATGGCAGAGACACTGCTCTTCCACAGGGCAAGGAGCAAGAGATCGGGTCTTTGTCACTGCGTCCCTCTTGGAAATGCCCAGCTCATTTGCTCTGCTCCTTCCTCCTCACTTGCTTCACCCCAAGGCTCTCAGGACAGATGACCCCTTTGCTAGTCCAAGGAGAATATCCCCATTTGCCCCTCTAGGCCTTCTCAGCAGTCCCATCACCCTTTGAATGTAAAACCCATAGAGGAACTGAAGGAAAGATGGCTGGAGTGGTGGGAGTAGCCAGGAAGAGTGACCATGCAGCTGGGCATCCCACTCTCCCTGGCCCAGGCAAGGAGCAGAGCAAAAACCCAGTAAGGCCCTCCCCCTTCCCCCCTCCCGACTGATGAGCTTCACCCTGGCTTGTGGTGGGTCAGGCCCTGAATGAACCTTCCTCGTACAACTTGCTGTTTTGAACTCAAGATTTTGCCCTTTTCCAAACCCCGTGGCACTCTGTCCTCACAACACTGCAAGCAGAATCTCCACTTCCTTTTCTTTAACACAGATATCAGCTGGTATTTCCTTGCCTTTACATTTAATGCAAACCAAACAGTTACAGCCAATTCCCTTTCTCATCCCATTCACAGCCTGCACCTCTCTCCTCTCAGCCCTCTCTTCCCTCTTGGAACAGCATTGGTCTGCATGCTTCACCCTCCAAGACAAAACACCCCCTTCCACATGGAATATTTCTTTTCTCAGCCTGGCCTTGGCAACATTTCCCAAGAAAAGGACCTGTCATGAGACCCACACAGAGCTGAGATGCAAAAGATTTTGGGGATTTTGCACACCTGGGGAGAAGATGGCAGGAGAGCGGCCTGTTATCGCCTCCTGACGCTTGCGGGCAAACTCCGTTATCTTCCAGATGAAAACCCCATCGTAGGTGGAAGCCTCCATGTTGCGGATCTTCTCCTCCATCTCGGCCATGGCCAGGTCTTTAAGCCCAATGCTCCTCTCCAGCTGCCGGACCTGCTCAGTGGGACACATGGTGCAGGTTAGAGACACGCAGGCTCCGGGGCCCGGGAGAGCCAGCAAACCCCAGCAGACCCTGGCATCCCCTCAGGACTGCTTCTGAGGGAGAGACTTTCTCCAGAATGGACAGGGAGCATGGGAAGGAGAAACCAAGCAACATCAGCCAATTCACTGAAGCTTCTGTCTGCACCCTGTTGCTCTGGAGAAGATCCATCAATACAGCTTAGTGCTTGAGCTGGGAACTTCCCCCTAGACAATGTAAAACTCCTTCCAAGGAGCTGCTCCCTTAGCTGAGCAACACAAGAAGTGAGAATGGGGAAAAATCCCCAATAACTCAGCATTGTGACAAAACTAAATTAAGAAAGAAAAGAACCTACACCCTCTGGAGGGTTCGTCCCTGCCAGCTCACACAGGGTCACGCCAGATCAGTTGCCCAGAGAGCACAGGTACGCTGCAAACTGCACAGCTCCAGGTGCCAGGAACACTAGGAGCCCTCCACAGGGACTGTGCTGGAGCAGGCTGATGGAGGCAGCTCCTTCACACCTCCAGCCTGTTGCTGCAGGCAGCAGCACTGATGGCACTCCTTTGGCAAAGGCAGCACTCCTTTGGAAAAGTCTGGAAGGTGAGCAGCCCCACAGATTCAGTGAGATGCAGCACAAGGAGATGCAGTGAAATTCTGGGTGCTCTGGCTGTTGTCAGAAAACTTTGCTGAGGAAGAACCCCTTGGTATCTTGCCCAGTTTGATAATTAACAGAGGTCTGATGCTTTACACAGGTCAGTTAAATTCCCAGCTTTCCAGGGAGCTGCTGAGGGTTGGGCACAGGCACAACGGGTATTTTAGTTCTGCCTTCAGATTTGTGGAGTTTCAGGGTCGAGTGCTGAAGCTTTGCTAGCTCATGACATGGAAAGGAAACAGGAAACAGCCTCTGCTGGGAGTGCTGGGAAGCCCAGGTGAGCAGTTACACACCTTGTTGCTCAGTGTTTCAATTTTCTCCTGGTCCAGCCGGTGCTGCCGACTGTAGGCTTCAGCTGTCAGGGAAACTCTCTCCACCTCCCGGTTAAGCACACAGACAATGTTCTCAAAGGTAACTGTTTTCCTCTCAAGGGCCTCACACCTTCCCAAAAGCTCCAGGGACCGGGAGAGCTCCGACTCTGAGCACAGTGAGTTTGCTGCCAGAAGCGGGGAGCTGTTTTGTGATGATGAAGGAACAGCAAGGGGCTTCAGGTCCCCAGCACCAGTCTTGAGGCTGAGCACAGAGCTCAGAAGCATGTAGAGATGCTCTGCCAAACACTTCCTTTCATGTTCCAGGAGCTTTTCATTTTCCACCTACATGAAGAGAAATACATCCCCCATTCAGCATGTGCAGCTACACTGTCACCATCCACAGAACAAATTCCTCCTATCCAGGTCACAACATCAGTTTCAAATATATAATTTATAGGGGAGAAACAAAAAAAAAATAATTTAAAAATGTGTTTTGGTGGGGGTGGTTTGGGTTTTTGTTTAGTTTTAGAAATGCTTCAAATCACATACAATGAAGGATGCTAAACGCTTCCCCCAGCTATACTCTGCTCTGCCTTCCTCCCAGAAAGCTCTGTCAGATGTACCTAACAGCAACAAAGGACAAAGCCTCACCCAACCTCCCGGAGGAGGGATTTATTTGAACCACTGGGACCTGCAAGAACTAAGTGACATAGAGAAATGGCCTGGCTCCAGTATTTTGCTTACAGAATCATGGTAATCACAAGTCATTACACACTTGCTTGAAGAGACCTTAAAGCTCATCCTGTCCAAGGGATCCAAGGACAGCCACAGCTCCTCTGGGCACCCTGTGCCAGGGCCTCCCCACCCTCACAAGGAACAATTTCTTTCTAAAAATCTCATCTAAACCAGACCTCTGTCAGTGTGAAGCCACTCCCCCTGAAAGAAGCATAACCACCACAGTCCCAAAGCACTCAGGGTGCTCTTAAAGTAGAAGATTTCCTTCCACAGGAATTTAATTCCTGGGACGCCCAGACTCTGCACAGCGCGTGATGTGAAGCTCCATGTGCAATGGGTTTAATCAAATACCTGAAGGGAAACAGCTGTGACAGTTTGGGTAACAGCAGTTTGCAGGAACTCTAATGCTGGGACTGAAAAGTGCCAAGGTAACCCAAGAGAGGAGTCCTTACCACCTCAGCACAGCCCACAGCCTCGAACCGGCAAGGTACTTTGGATCTGCCACATGTCTTCACGTGGTCCCGAAACTAGAAAGGGAGGAAGGAAGGCAGTATTAGATCTTACGTGTCCCTAGTGCTCCCTCTCCATCCCACTGACATTTGGTAAACTACAGCCAAGCTGAAGAATGCCCAAGCTATGGCTAATCACCAGCTGTCACCGTGCCCACTAAACCTGGGCTCTGCCCGCCTTCAGGCATGACGTTCACCGGAATACAAATACAGCCCTGACACCTGAAGAAAATGAAATTTCTCCTTCTCTTGATGGCTGGGAGGTCTCACTGCTCACAAGCACATGCAAGAGTGAAAAAGTAATGGGTACAGGTACAAGCTGTGCCTGAGAGCTTCCCTGAGGGCTGAGGAATGGGAGGCACAGGCAACAACCTCACGAAACAAGGACACATTCTTTTTGGGCACCTCACACAACTCTGGTAAGGACGTGCTACAGGTTGGTATTTTTACCTCCATCCCAGCATTACATTTCTGCAGAGAGGTGCCCCTAACCCCTCAGCACTGAGATAACTTGTTCAGATTCCCACATAGTGCATGATTAATCCAACGAGTACTGTCACAGCTTCAGCTTGGGTTTAGTACACCTCTCACCACCAGATACCAGAGCTCTGTTCTGAACAACCACCATATTCCCTCCCCACTTAACTCCTACATCTGCCACAACAGATGTCAATTAAAACTGATTTTAAATCACTTTTTTAAAGGCTTCTAGATCCATCTGGCTTGTGTAATGAGTGGGTTACTCTGAGTTAACATGGCAACAAATAATGAACAAGAGTTTGGAGAAATAAACACAGGAGTGAATATTTAAACACAGAGTAGATCACCCGTGGGGACCCCATGAGCTGGCTTCCTGCAGAGCTTCAGCTCCCACCTGCAGATAAGCTGGGCTGTACCCCAAACCCCAGCCTGCAGATAAGGTGGGCTGTAATGCCACCCCTAGCCCCTCCTTATGGTGCTCATTTGGAAGAACTCTTTTGCTCCTCTTCTTGCCACTTCTGTTGCCCTGCCCTGCAAAAGGGCTTTTTCCAACACTGCTAGTAAAAATACTCGCCTGTAGAAGGCAAGATAGTTTCAGATGCATGTGCTTTTTGAAAATGTTTCCCAAAACTTGAATTTTTCAGACTTTTGAGCCTTGTCCCAGGAGCCAGCAGCCTGGAAATGCTATAGGCATGGATTCCATTAGATTATTACTTAGATATCAATTAATATAGCTGGAGATGGGCTCTCTTTCCAAAACTGCAGCAGTAGTTGATGCCGTTGCTCACACAGAACATAAACCCATGAGTGTGCTTTTCCCACAGAGGCTCTGCTCCCGTACATGGCTCCAAGGGAGGTGGCAGTGGCAGCACCAACACCGACCTGCCAGCGCCCCCAGCCACATTACCTCACACCCATCCTTATGGAAAACTCACATCCACATTAACAGCTGCCACTCAGTTGTTTTCCCCACTTCAGTTCCTAATGGACTCTGTTCCTCCCTGCTGCCAGAATGCCAAGCTCAGCCCATCAGGACACCAAATACCCCCAGGGCAGAGTCGGATGGATACCTTCTCCCTGGGAATCTTCTTCCCACAGCCTTCACAAGTCAGCGGGAATTCAGGGCAGACTTCATCATGAGCCTGTGAAGGAACATACAGGAGATATTTGTTCTCAAATAAAAGGCTCACAGAGGTTTTGTGATGGGCACAATCCCAAGGGGGTGGGTTTATACCTTATTACAGACAAACACTGGATTTACCAACCTACACTCAGACCTTAGTCATGCTGATCCCTCTGAGCTGCTGACTCATCGTGTGACCTCCAGGCTACCTCAGTTTTGGGTGCCTACGTAACCTCAACTTCTATTTAAAAGATGCTACAATGATTTTTTAAAAATTCAAATTATTGCTTTGATGGCCAAGATAACAATGGGAAACTCCATTTATGGCTCTGCCAGGAGAAGACACGTTGATGCAGGTTGAGTGGAGTGAGCCACTACCTCAGCAGGATAATTTGGGTAGTTTTTCCACTGTAATGGTTATCAGTCAGCTGAGGCATAGGCCCCATGACAGCTCATCACACGCCAGGCTGAGCTGTCTGATTGTATCTTCACATTTGAATTAGAGTACCATTTTCCAAGCAGAAAGAAAATTATTTTTAAACTGTTTCATTTACCAGTCCCTGCACACAAGCAATTGCCTCTGCAGCCATACTCAGGGTTGGATGATGGCCAGAGAGGTTGAACAAATGACCAGGGCAACATGATCCTCTGTCCTCGGTAGACTCTTCAGCAACAGTGCTGGCTAAAAGGAATGCTGGAACATGCCACAGCTTCTGTGCCATCTCCACACTGCTTAAGCCTTCCTGTTATACACCCACCAGTTGAAACAAGGCATTGGAAACACCATGAATATGCAGATCAAAACTCAAATTAAAATATAAGAGCACTGAAGTCTCCTGCCATGGTAGGGACAGAAAAAAAATCCAACCAGGAGCTTTTTTAATGCAGCCATCTGAACCCAGATGTTTGAAAACTTGGTCACAATGAATCTCTGTTGCCTTCTAGGGGAACACACACAAACCTCACCCTGTCACACATCAGGAAGTGGAAAGTGAAACCAGCAGTAACTCCACCCTGGCTTCTTGGTCACTCTCTCCTTTTTATGCTTTAAGTGAGTAACTTAAGCTCAGAGTTTCACTGTGTGCCCCTGGCCAGCCAGCAGGGTTTGGAGGACACTGCTGCCAGCACGGACGCTGCTGCCTGCAGAGGAGGAGGAGAAGGAGGAGGAGGCCAAGTGCCTGCCTTTATCCCACTCAGAGTGAGTGAGACCTTTTTTCTACCCACCTACTGCTCTCATGTTCTAGAAACACCCAATAACATCTACCCCATGACCCACAAAGCACTGGCAGAACAGATGGTCTGGCTGAAAGAAGGAAACTTCACTGCAGAGGCAACTATTTTAAAAGGGAATATTTTAAACTTATGGCTTCCCATGCCAACACGTGGGTGTGAAACTACCACCCCCTCCACACTCCCCACCTCCCAGCATTTATCCTCCATCCTGATTCCCCTCTGCACCACAATGTAACGCCCAAGAGTGGGCAGCCCTGCCTGCAGCACGGGAAGGAGCTCAAAGAGCAACTGTTCTGCATGTAAATAGTTAAAGACACCCAGAAGCTGCAGCCAGCGCAGATCCAAACATTTCTGTATAAACAGTTTCAGGCTCTTCTGGAAACCCCTGTTCTTCCTGCCCCACGTGGGTGTCAGAATAGAGATGGATGGTTTCAGTCCTGGAAGAAATCCAACCCACCCTGGAACCAAGAGCAGGGGTTGGCACTTGGGCCTGATCTGCCACCCTCCACTCCCCCAGAAATGGGGCAATCCTCCTGTTTATGTCTTTCCCAAACCCACAGCTGTAGCTTCTGCTACAGGGATAAGCACCACTCACATTCAGGCACTTGCTTGGAAAGTTTTTGGGAGTTCTAGAAAGCCATCTGTGACTGTGAGTGGGACTAGGCAAGAGCAGACACTCTCCCAGAGGGAAACCAGAGTGGAAATCAAGCTGGAAAGGCACCAGAAAGAGGGGACAGCCATGGAAGAATTAAAGTGGAGCTGGAAGTCAATGGCTCACCCAGCAAGGCACATACCAGCCTACAGCATCCAACAGCAGGACCAGGAAAATCAAATGAGGCAGAGGTAACAGCCCTCAGCAACACCTGGTTCTTCCCACTGAATTACAACCAAAGCCGCTGATTGATAAATTTCCTTCCCTAATAATAAACACAACCCCACAGCAGCCTGCCCATCACCCACCACCATCAGAGAGGTCATTCTCTGGGAGCTCACTGGAAAGGTTAGAGAATTGGACACCACTGCTCATGGAAGGATCAGGGCAACCGAGAGGATCAGAGTCAGGGACTGTGTGTGAGGGAAATCAGAATCACAGAATAATGGAATGGGTTGGGTTGGAAGGGACCTTAAAGCCAATTTCATTCCACCCTGCTACCATGGGCAGGGACACCTTCTACTATCTCAAGTCATTCCAAGTCCCATCCAGCCTGGCCTTGGACACTTCCCAGGGATGGGGCAGCCACAGCTGCTCTGGGCACCCTGTGCCAGGGCCTCACCACCTTCACAGGGAAGAATTTCCTCTTGACATCTAATCTCAATCTCTTTTAGTTTAAAACTACTCCCCCTTTTCCTGTAACTATCTGTCCATGTAAAAAGTCCCTCTACATCTTTTTACAAGCCCCCTTTAAGCACTTACAGGCTGCAGTGAGGTTTTCCCAGAGCCTTCTCTTCTCCAGCTGCACAAAGATGCTGAGCTCTCCCGTCTCCCTGCAGGCCTACTAGCAAATGGAGCTGCACGTTTCTACCGGGAATCTCCCACCCACCTCAATATCAGGAAAGCAGAAAAGCTGTACATTATTTAAATTTACAGTATTTGCAGACAAACTTTCTTTCTGGACACTCTGGCAGCAGGATGAGGCTGTTCCACCCCAGGCAGCAAGCCAGCACTCTGCACTGCAGCTGTGCAGGGGAGTGCAGGCACACAGAGGGAAAAGTGGGTTTTAATAAGGGCAGCTATCTCTGGAGCATACAGTGATCATTCCTAAGGAAGCTGAGGGCAGATCTCACTGAGCTCTGAAGCTTCCTCATGAGGGGCAGCTCTGATCTCTGCTCTGTGTGCCAGTGACAGGAATCAAGGGAATGGCTGGACTTGTGCCAGGATGGGGTTAGAATGGGTATTGTGAAAAGGTTCTTCCCCCAGAGGGTGCTGGCACTGCCCAGGCTCCTCAGAGAATGGGCACAGCCCCGAGGCTGCCAGAGCTCCAGGAGGGTTTGGACAGCAGTGCCAGGGATGCCCAGGGTGGGACTGTTGGGGGGTCTGTGTTGGTGTCCTGTGCAGGGCCAGGAACTGGACTGCATGATCCCTGTTGATCACTTCCAGCTTGGAATATTCTCTGGTTCTATGCAATGCCAGGATGAGCCTGCTTCCCTACTTCTCCCTCAGCCAAGCAGTTTGATCTGATCACCATTTCACCTCAGAGTATTGCTAAATTCAATTTCAACTCTGGAAGAGGCTTCTGCTGGAAATCATTATCTCCATACTCTGGTGGCAGAGCAGGACATGCCTCTGCTGCCTGGCTGCTCAGCTCATAACCTGCCACATCCACAAAGGTCCAGTTTTTTACTGGAGGTCTTGTAACCATGCTAGGAATCCACCAGCATGACACTGGGCCCCCCCTCCAGCCAAGGGACAAGGCAGGCAGCTGGGAAATGCCACTGTTGAAGCAGCTGCTGTGGGATACCTCTGCCAGAGCCTGTGGGAAGGTCACAGCAAAGGGCAGGGCTGGCAGAGGGACAAGGGGCAGCAGGACAGGCTCAGAATGAGCTGCACACTGCAGCTCTCCTGCAAAATCCCCTGGTCATGGAAAGTCACTCCATTGGTCTCCTCTGAGCACAGCAACAGTAACCACAAGCAGACAGCTCAGGGGCTTGGCAGCTGGAAGGAGCAACAGGAAGTAAGCAAAACTACCGTGATGGCAGAGGAAAGGCAGCTGCCAGGACACAGGGCACAGGGGTGGCTACGAGGCCTTGGGTGGTCTCCAGCCCCAGCACTGCCATATGCAGCACTTGGTTTCTTGGACACAGTAGCCTGGCTACAAGGAAAAGGGTGGGCCCATGGAATTGTAGAGAAAACACTGAAAATGAGTCTCCAGTATAAAAGAGAGTTTAGAGGGAACCTGAATCCTTTGCGCTAAGAAGCATCGGTTGCTTCGTCCATCTCTGTCAGCTTCCCAGGGGCTCAAGAGCCTGCAAGATGGGAATGTGCCACTCAAGGCAGGTGCTTTGGGATGCCCTGCTCCTGTCAACACAGGGGTCCCCCTGATGCAGGTGTAATTAGCACTGATTCCATGATGCAGAGGGCTGAACCATTGCTTTATTCTTCTATACTATATTAATACCATATTCTTAAGAAACCCATAATCCCTTCCAGCCTATCCAATACAGCTTTGACCTAATTGGTCAACCAACCAAAACAGCACCACCCTTTGGTAAAGAGATTTCCATAACACATTCCACATTTGCCTAGCAACAGGTGCAGCAAGTGGAGATAATAATTGTTTTAATTCTTTCTCAGCTTTCTCACGACTCCTCGCAGCCTTCCCCAGGGAAAAATGCCTGGGAAGGCCTGTGCCTGCTCTCTGTGGCCAGAGAGCTGCTGCCACATGCTGCTCTGAAGTCCCCATGCCCTTCTGTGCTGCAGCTCCTCCTGACAGGGAAGTCCTGAGCTGGTTCTATGCTAGGCTTGCTTGAACCTTTTCCCACACAGGTGAGTCAGGCTACCCGGCACAGGGTGACCACACACCCAGTCCCTGTGCTTCTGCATGGAGCCCAGCAACACAAGGCTGGAAAGCAGGATCCCAGTCTGGAATTCCCAGTGCCAAACAGGAATGGGAGCTTTCTGAGACCATCACACAGGCTGGTGCCAGACACAAACTCCTCCCTTGCTGGGACATGCTGTTGACAGATCCAAGCAAGTTCACTTGGCATCACTTCAAAGAAAGTGTCAAAACCAAAGATGAAGTTTGCATCACTAGGTACTGTTGGCTCCAGCTGGCCAGGCAGTGAGGGGGTGGGAACCCAACACACCCTCACTGCTCTCAGTGCCCTGCTGCCCACCTGAGTGAGGACAAAAGGCAGCAGAAGCCTTGTGGGGGTTCCTGTGGGCTGGCTCACACCTCTGTTCAGGCCCAGGGCAGGAACTCTTGTTTTCAGTGTAGAGGTTTTGTTCATCAACTGTTAGGGCTGATCAGACAGAGTTTGATTTGGGGATTGCTGGCAGAGGGACACCAAGGCAGTGTTTCAGGTACTGAAGACAAGTGTGAAGGCAAGAGTGATTTTTTAGGGTAAAGGAAAGTACAAAATGCATTTGAAGCAGCAGCAGGTTTTCTGTCATTTTTAAAAACAGGTTCTGCCACTCCTGGCTGCTTTCAACTATGAACAAGCACGAAGTGGTGGTACATTCCAGGATGCTTTTTCCAGATCTCTCCACAATTCCCCCACCTGCACTCCAGCTGCCATGCATTCCTCACAGTGTAGAACCATATGAACCTCCACTTCAAACCTCGTGACTTACAGCTTTTCATTCTCCAAGGAGCAGATGTCAAAACTATTAACTTTTGGGCCACCACAAGAAGGCTGAGCTGGTTTCAGAAGTGAAGAGCAGACCCTCTGCAGCCGGGGCTTTCCAACCCCTCCCACACATGCTCTCTGGCACTCCCCGTGGCTCTCCCTCCCACCACAGTTTGGACGGGAAATGGCCCCGTGTCCAGGCAGCCAGCTACACCAGCTACTGTGGGGACTGTGGCTGGGATGTGTTTGTGGGCCTCAGCTCTGGCTCTGGAAAGTACAGGTGTGTCTGATCCCTTTTCCAAAAGCAGAAGGTCCTTTTGGTCACCTCCACGTGCAAGTCAGGGATTCTCTCACCAGAAAATTGTCTGGTCCTGCTGGAGCTAGCTGCAAACTGCACTTCACCATCAGTCCAGAATTCAGAGCCAAAGCCTTCAGAAGAAGCCAATAATGCTGTACTGGGTTTTAAAGAGAAGGCCAGTCACCCTGGTACAGCAGCACCAAGTGCTCCTGCCACAGCACCTCAAGCGTTGCACCCCACACAGCCAACAATGACAAAACACTCAGAGGAACAACTCTGTGGAGCAGGAGACAGGTGAATGAGCTTCAAAGACCAACAGCTCTCCTCTAAGCAATGTGCAAAGCCCTGAAGATGAAGTTTCAGCCTCAGCTGAAAATCACCACCAAAACCTGCTGGGGCACTCCTGGTTGCAGCTGGGAAGGAGGGGCATGACAAGGGCACAGCCCTGGCTCAGGGCCCCCAGCAGCACTGCTGAACAGAGAGTTTTCCCTACCTAAGGTGCAGTAGGGGCTCTACAGCATCTCCTAAGTATGAACAGTGGGCAGAAAGGAATGCCTGGTTATCCTGTTCTTCTGGAGCCAGGAAGCCACATAGCCCAGAAGGGCCTATAGACATCCTTTCTGACACCACAGGCTTTTGAGTAACATCACTTGTGTTTGGAGCTTTGCACCTTCTGCAGCCTTCCAGGTTTCACTTAGAAAGAACTCTCTAAAATCAAAGTGACAACAACAAACTTAAAGAAAGCATGTTCCCTCCAGCATGGATTAAGCCAGCTTGTTCCCACACCTGACTGTTGCTTGGCCTCAGAAGCTGAGCTGATACGAGCCCCACAAAACTTAGTTTAAACACTGATGTCATGTTTAAGCTTAAAACTTAGTTCTTCTTCCTAAAATTGGACAATTTCATTTCCTTATGTCTCAGTTAATTCTGCTTCCAGCTGAAGAGGGCTGCATTAAATGCCCTGTCTGGGGTAACCAAGGGGAAGGCCAAAGTTGACCCCATGTATACTCCTCCTCAGCCCCCTCCTGGGGGGAGGACACAGGAAGGGAACTGGTGGGATGAAAAGCATAAATAAAAGGTGCATGAAAACTGACAACAGTATGTTGATAAACAGGAGAGGGACGTGGGCAGCTAGAGGTACTGAAAGGTGGGAGGAAAAACACACCAAAGCTGAGGAACCACAAACTCCCTCTCCTGGATATCACTGGGACCGTTTTTGAGGTTTTTGCTTTAATGGGCTGAGTTTAGTTTCTGCAGCCCTTCTCAGACTTTGCTCTTGAATCTAAAGGTTCATGCCCACAGCCTGATTTTCAAAATGTACAGGCAGACAGACTCATCAGGAAACAAGGTCACCAATAAAAGGAAAAACCCTTCAGCCCCTCCCCCGCCAAACTACTTTATCCAAATGCCACAAAATATTTACAGACACTGAAAAATGCAGCTATAAATCCAGACTTAAATATTTCATATGGTCCACACAGCTTGAAGCAAAATGCAAGTCATGTCCAAGCTGACTGCACTCATTCAGTTTTGTGTTTCCCTTTGAGAGCCAAACTTCAGTCCACCTGAACAGAAAGCAAAACTGAAATCCATTTTACTCCTTTTCTCGAGGCTTAAGCTTTCCAGCTGCAGAACATTTTTCCCCTGTGCGTGCCCTGATAAGATTAGCAAGCCAGAAGTGACAGTATCTCTTCATTTGCAAGGGGAGAGCAGTCTCTCTCAGCACAACACACGATTTTAAAATTAGCAAACAGTGAATTCACTCTGAGGGACTTTCCATGTCCTCTCGGAAATAGCTCTGAGGTACTTTCCAGAGTGGGAGTGCTGCGCTGCTGCAGGACGTTACCCACAGTGCAGCTACAGATGCAGCTCTTCTGCACCAGGCAGCTCTGCACTGTGGCCCTGAAGGCTGGGTTTAACCTTAGCCCAAGATATCACAAGGCTCTGGGCTAACACAGCCATTCAACGCCTCCTTTCCCAGCCCTCTTCATCAACACACATGACTTTGGCAGCATGGAGACAGCCAGTCGTGATTAAATGCCACAGCTCTTTGGCAGGCATATGAGAGGAGATAACACAAGCCAGACTTGCCTCCTCCCACCAGTTCCTAGGAAAGAGCCAGCCTTTCCTGAGAGGGCACAAAATAACCTCCTTCCTCAGGCTGAATGCCACCGGGGCAGGCAGGAGAGGTGACTCTGTCCTGAGAGGATACAGCCAGCACTGCTCCAAACCCCCACACCCCCTGTACCACACAGGACACCCCGAGACTCACAAAAACCCCTGGCAGGGAAGATGGCACAGACGGCACAGACCCACAGCCCACACACTCCAGGGCCACACCACTATCAATCATCCTTTGTCTCAGCAAACACCAAACTGCAGTTTGGGAAGATCAAGTGGAGAGTGAAAACAAGGCACAGGCTCATCCATACAGGAGCTCTTCATCAGCTGTGTGCAAGGTTCTGGGGCATCACACACTCCTGCAGCCCTGATGCCAGGACAGCTCGCTGCCCTTCTGAACTCCCAGGGGGAGCTCTGGCCAGACTCAAGCACTCTAAAACTTGTCAGAATACATAGGGAGAACCTTTGGCAGCAGACTATTTTTGCTGAGCTCTGCAAGACCATGTTAAGACCTTTTTTAAAACCAGAAGAAAAAGTTCAGCACGGCTCATCAGCCACAGCACAATCAGCACTGGAAGTTGCTGACAGATATAATTTGGTTAGTTTAACGAAGATGAGCTCACTATAATCATTGACATTGGACTTCTAGGCACCAGCAGAAATTAAAGCATGGAGCAAACAATCTGCAGACACCACCAGCACAGCCTGAACCTGAAACCTCAGTACCTGGGTACCCTGTTCCTTGACATACAATCCCCAAACTCTATGTTGTGGAAGTGTTAAGCTTTTCACCTGACACTTCTTCAGTCCCACATCCACACCACGAGTCTCTCACAGGTGTACAAATGGAGGCTCACAGCAGCAGGACCTTTTAGCACCAACATCCTCATCTCTTGGACTGAACTTTGAGCACACAGCAGAAGGCTCACACAGCAGGACAAAGAAACAGCTGCAGAAGCATCTCTCTGCCAACAGGCAGAGGCCCAGTCTGGGCAGAACGCTCAGGCCTGATGCACAGCTGTTGCTTCTTCCTTCCACTTTGGAATGGAATCATTGAGAGAATCCCAATGTTAGCCTGGACAGACCAAGGTTAAACCAGCTCCTGAAACACATCTCAGTCACTGCCAAAGCTCTGTAAACCACCAGGCTATGATCTTAATCTGGAGTGAGTGTTAGAGGGAAATAAAATGAATTCCTCTTAACTCAGACCTCCCATGTGGTGGCTCTGCCATTCCAAGAAGGATGACAAAATGGTCTTTCAGGAGCCAAAAGCTCACATACAGTCACACACTACAGACCAAGCACCCCCCAGCCACAACTAAAACCTGTATTAAAAAGCTACTGGGCTCCTCGAGGAGAAGTGAGGTGAAAAAGTCATCCTGTCCAGCAGCCTTGTGTCCCAGAACAGTTTGGGTGATGGGTGACCAGAAGTACCCAACATCTAGTCCCACTACCCTGGTAGCTCTGGAGACAGCTGAAATGGGATCAGGTCACTTTCTGTGAGCTGATGGAGTTTTAGGTTCACACAATGCAGAGAAGTTCACAACCCTTTCATGGCACAGCAATTTCTTGACAGTCTTGTATAGCAGAAAAGAGCTGCAAAGAGAGCAGGTGGTTCCTGTCACGGAAGGAAATGCTCACAAGCAAATCTGAACCCATCTCAGTCCAGCCTGTGCCCTCAGCACAGCACACAAACCCTCATTCAGGGAACCTCTCCAGCTGACAGTAAAGTCCAGGGATTTGACAACTTTCCCCCACTGTCAGTGGGCACAGACAACACCCCGAGCCTTCCCCAAAAACAGAGGGCAGAAGGATGCAGATGTGCCAAGCCTCGCCCTGGCCTGTACCTCGTACTCTTTGATGGTTCCCTTCCAGGTGCAGCCGCTGTTGATGCAGACAGCAGGCAGACTCTCCACCTCCCGCCGCGCCGCGTTGTCCGGGAAAGCCTGAAATGGAAAAAACAAGCAGACCACAAATATTACTGAGGGGCTGCAGGTTTGATCAGGACTTTGAATTCTTTCTGAAAACTCCTCCCAGACCAGTTGCCCCATCAACCCTCAGAGGTGTGTTAACAGCAACCAGATTGCTGTGACAGCTTTAAGTAGGGCACCGCCACACACACGTGACCTGGATTTCAGCACCGAGGAGTCCAACACAGTAACCACCCTTCTCACTGCTGAAGAGAAGAGTTCCTAGGAAGAAGGAGTTCTCAGAGCTCATGTTTTAAGCAAAAACTGTAACTGGTATTACTGACATCAGTGATCTGTTAGGTTTCTTTCAATGCATTTTTCCTTACCGAGCTTGTTTCCAAAATAGAAATTCCTTCTTCATATATTCCTTCCTGGATACAGCTGGCACACTTTTGAGGTCCAGCACTACCAGACAGAAAAATAATAATCAAACACAAAAACAACAACAACAAAATTTAACAATAAATTGATTTCTGGTAACTTTTTGAAATGCCAGTGTTTTCTTGTTTTTAAAGCAACACACTGAGCCTTTGCTTGTGTGTATTGTTGATGACTATTTCTAATTTCTTTTTCTGCCAACTAAACATTCTATCTTTCCTCGCACAAAGGTAGGAGTGAGATAGAACACAAGGAAACTTCTCTGGAAGCCAGCTTGTGTTTAAACCTCTCCCATTCTGACACAAGAACGAAATGATGACTTTATGACTGTGATGAAGGAGATGGGTGATAGACCTGGACTGCCTCCTCAATGCCCAGAATGCAGGGGATTCTAGAAAAGAGAACTCTGAAGCATCAACAAAGGCAAGTCAGAGATTACACACACCCTTAGAGATGATGCTGAACCCCAGTGATTGAACACAGCTCCCTTACTGAGAAAGTCCTGAAAATGACACTTCTCTCTGCTTTTGTTCTTGAAAATGCCTTTTCCAATACCTTGCCTTGCCTGGAGGCAGAGCAGTTACCTGATGATTCTCTTCAGGCAGTAGGAGCAGTAGCGATGGCCGCACTGTGCCTGGAACGGCCGCCTGAGGATGTTCTTGCAGTCAGAGCACAGGTATTTGACCTCCAGCTTAGTTCCCAGGATCTCCTTTGCAAACCCAGGCTGGTTTAGATCCAGAGAACCAGGTGGAGAAGAGTTTGCTGCTGCCATGTGAACGAAAAGTTCTGGCTGTATGTCCAGAGACTGAAAATAAAAGTATTTTTTCCAACTGATTATAATTGCATGGGGATGATTTGTCATATAAACTGTAGGCAGGAGATTATTAGACTGTCCCCAACAAGTAAACATACTGATGTAAACCACACTACAAGCCAGCCTTCACTTCCCAAATACGTGAGAAAACTTGAATTTTAGAACTGAATCCAGAACACAGAGACAGGAAGGACAGACCTAATAAAACCCCCTGAGTTGACTGAAATGCAGCCTGTTTAGAGATATCAAGTCTTCTTGCTCCAAATAAGGTAAAAAACTGTGTTAAAGGTGATAAGAAATAAATATAATAAATTCAGTTCACCAAAAACCTGTTGGCCACCACAGCCTACCAATGCCTGCTTTCACACTTGTCAGCTATCAGGAGGGACCAAAATTCTGCCCAGAGGCAGCTGGTCCCGGATGCTCCTGGGGGGAAGCTGGGCACACAGGGGAGCCCAGATTTAGTGGTGGTGCCCAGTCAGGCACAGAGGGTTCTCCAGAGGGATGGAAAATGAGGACACAAGAGGCGCAAACAAATTGGAAAGAAGGCAAAGAATAAAATGCTTTTGGTTTAGCTGCTTATGCATCTCATACCTTCATTCCCTGTGACTACATCCTACAGCCACCTAAAACACCTAAGGAGCACACCCGTGGAGTCCCACGGTTTGGATGGGGAGGGACTTTAAAGTTGATCTTATTCCACCCCTGCCATGGCAGGGACACCTCCCACTGTCCCAGGCTGCTCCCAGCCCTGTCCAGCCTGGCCTTGGGCACTGCCAGGGATCCAGGGGCAGCCACAGCTGCTCTGGGCACCCTGTGCCAGGGCCTGCCCACCCTGCCAGGGAACAATTCCTAATTCCCAATATCCCATCCATCCCTGCCCTCTGGCAGTAGGAAGCTGCTCCTCCTGTGTCCTGTCACTCCATGTCCTCGTCCCCAGTCCCTCTCCAGCTCTCCCGGAGCCCCTTCAGGCCCTGCAAGGCGCTCTGAGGTCGCCCTGGAGCCTTCTCCTCTCCAAGCTGAACGCCCCGAGCCTGTCTCCGGGAGGAGCCCTCACGAGCAGAGACACCAAGAACCGGGGAAGTGCCCAGGGCTGTCCGCGGCCAGGAGGGCTCTCCCCGCCCCCGACACCCCCAGACCATCGCCCACCCTCGCACTCCCAAGACCCCCACACCGACACCCTCGATCACCCAACAGCGCCCACCCCTGCGTTCCCAATGTCCCCAGCACACCATCACCCATCCCTGCATCCCTGGCACCCCGACTCCGACAACCACCGCGCCATCACCCACGTCCGCACCCCCAACGCCCCCACATCAGCTCTCTGTCACCACACCCTCCACCCCGCCGCCACACCAGGTTATGCCCCCTGCCACCCCCACTGTCACCCCCTCAGCCACCTCCCCTCAGCTCCTCAGTCACTCCTCACCCCGTCCTCTGTCACTTCTTCCCCAGCACCACTCCTCGCTGGCCCCCCCAGCAGTCCCCTGCCACATCCCTGCTGGGAATGAACCCAGATCCCCGGGACGCCCTCGCATCCCCCAGGACGACTCATCTACCCCCGGGTTCCCTCATCCCTCCTCCGTGCCCATCTCAGCCACCTCCTAGGGCCTCCTGGGCGCCCTCGTCCATCCCAGGGACTTCCCATCCATCCCCTGGCACCCCGCTCTGAGGTCGCCCTGGAGCCTTCTCCTCTCCAAGCTGAACGCCCCGAGCCTGTCTCCGGGAGGAGCCCTCACGAGCAGAGACACCAAGAACCGGGGAAGTGCCCAGGGCTGTCCGCGGCCAGGAGGGCTCTCTGCCGAGCCGAGCTCCCGGCGGAGAAAGGCCCGGCCCCGCCGCTCCCTCAGGGCCCCGCACTCACCGGCCCGCTCCGCGCGCCCGCACCGGAAACGCGCCAGGCCCCGCCCCCGGACACGTGTGGCGAGCCCGGGCCCCGCCCCGCCCCCGAGGACGGCCCCGCCCCCGGGAACTGCGCCTCCTGCCACCCCCCCTCACCTCCCCTCAGCTCCTCAGTCACTCCTCACCCCGTCCTCTGTCACTTCTTCCCCAGCACCACTCCTCGCTGGCCCCCCCAGCAGTCCCCTGCCACATCCCTGCTGGGAATGAACCCAGATCCCCGGGACGCCCTCGCATCCCCCAGGACGACTCATCTACCCCCGGGTTCCCTCATCCCTCCTCCGTGCCCATCTCAGCCACCTCCTAGGGCCTCCTGGGCGCCCTCGTCCATCCCAGGGACTTCCCATCCATCCCCTGGCACCCCCCTCACACATCCCCGCATTTGCTGGAGGGGGGAAAAGACGGACTGTGACCTGGGGCCACCTCGCCCACCCGGGGGCCCATCGGGGACAGCCATCTCCCGCTGCACTCCCCCGGTGAGCAGCCCCTGCTCCCTTGGAAACGGCCCGGAGCGAGCCCTGGCACCCGAGGAATTGTTTAGAAGGGACTTTTGGCATTTTGGGTAGCAGCGGGCCCTCGCCTACCTGCGCACAGAGCGTCATGGCCACCTCCGTCCGGCGCGGCCGGCGCGGGGCGCGGGGAGGCCAGCTCGGGCAGGACGGGCACGGCAGGACGCCGATCGCAGCGGGGATGCCGTGTGCGGGAAACGCGCGGCGCGGCCCGCACTGAGCGCTCGGCGAGGTGCTTTTTGCAGGGGAACTCGCTCGGCAAAGGTCACAGCGGCAGCACTTGTCAGCCGGGGTCCCCAGCCCGGCTCCGGGGTTTTACCGCCTGTGCGCCGGCGGGGCGGGGACGGGCGGGCTCTCCCCGCGGGGAATTCACCCGGCGCCGGGAAATCCTCGCTGTCAGAGCCGGGCGCGGTGACCGAGCAGTGACACAGCGGCCACGGTGACTCTCCCGGGAGCCTGGCTGCGAACACGGCGCCGGAGAGGAGGGGGTGGGAGTGAAGGGCGCGGCAGGGCCGTGGGGCGCTCAGGGACACCCAGTGCTGCCCAGGCACCGCCAGGGCGGGATGCTCCCTGCCAGCGAGCCGGGGACAGCATCCCTGCGTGTGCCGGCACCGGGGATGGCACGGGCACAGCTCCCCCGGCATGGGAGCCGCTCCACCCACTGCACCGCAGCAGCCATGGAAAACTTGGTGATGTCATCCATCGAAAAAAAAATCCCGTCTACATTTCCTGAAATGACCGTGACCCGGCAGCGGGACATGCTGTTCCCAGAGGGACAGGAAACCCGCACAAAGGCTTGTTTGGAACGCCGGCCGCGGGACGGGAGCGTGGGGCTGCTCCCAGTCCTGCCGGGACACCCCGGCTCCACCGCACGGCCCAGGGAGAAGGTCTCGCACCCCGCTGATGTCCCACCTCGGAGCTGCTTTCTCCCGGTGCCGGGGAGCCGGGGCCAGGCGTGTTGCGGTGACAGATGACAAATGCAAACCCCTGTGCCGACCTGATTTCCAAGCAATGCCTGGATCATCACCGTGACCGGGATCCGGCCACTCGTCGTGCGCTTCGTCATGGGAAGACCCCACAAAAATCCGCCTGGGGAGTGTTAACTTTGTGCCCTCTCACTTCAGAAATGACGAGAGCAGGAGCAGCTTTTCATGCCTTTACTGCAACTGCGAAACTTTCTGGGCGATTCTGATGCGTTTTAGGGATTTTCATCGAATCACAGACTATCCCAAGCTGGAAGGGACCCACAGGGATCACCCAGCCCAGCCCTGTCCCTGCCCAGACCCCCCAACAACCCCACCCTGGGCATCCCTGGCAGCGCTGTCCAAAGGCTCCTGGAGCTCTGGCAGCCTCGGGGCCGTGCCCATTCCCTGGGGAGCCTGGGCAGTGCCAGCACCCTCTGGGGGAAGAGCCTTGCCCTGATCTCAGCGTGAGCTGCCCTGGCCCAGCCCCAGCCGTGCCCTGGCTCCTGTCCCTGTCCCAGAGCAGAGATGGGAGCTGCCCTCGGGAGGAGCGGCAGCCCCGGGGAGAGGATCGACCTCAGCACCGCCTTCTCTGGGCCGAACCAACCCAGGGCCCCCAGCCGCTCCTCCCTTGGCCCCTCCGGGCCGTCCCGATGGCCGTGTCCGTGCCGTGGCCGCTTTGCCGGGCTCCCCGCAGCACGAAGGTCCCAGGGCACATCGCGCCCGGTGCCGACGGGCCGGGGAACCCGCACGGCGAACCGCCGCACTGCGCATGCCAGGGCACATCGCGGCCCCGCCGGTGCCCGCAGGCGCGCCCGGTGCCGACGGGCCGGGGAACCCGCACGGCGAACCGCCGCACTGCGCATGCTCGGCTCGGCCGAGCAGGCCAACGGGTCTGACAGCGCCGCAGAACAAACCAATCCCCGCCGGGTGACGGGTGACTGGCAGGGCCGACAGCCAATCTTAGCGTGCACAGGCACGTGCCGTCCGCCCCAGGTGGCGTGGGCACCAGCCAGTCACACAGCGGGAAGGCTGATTGGCAGGTAACTGCGCCTATCAAACGGAGCTGCGTCGCCCCTGGGGGCAGTTAAGCCAACAGTCCATGCAGGAATCTAAGCCCCGCCCGCTGCGCTCGCGCCGGTCTCCACCTATGAGCGCCTGCCGTTTCTGACGGGCGTGCGCCTCGCCCTATCAGCGGCCGTGACGCGGCCGCGCCCCCGGAGGCGGGCCCTGGGCGGTGCCCGGCGGCGGGCGCGGCCCGGGCGGGGTCGGAGCGATGGCGGAGAGCGACTGGGACACGGTCACGGTGCTGCGCAAGAAGGGCCCGAGCGCGGCCCAGGCCAAGTCCAAGCAGGTCAGCGCGGGGAGCGGCGGGGGGCCGGGCGCGGGGCCGGGCAGGCGGCAGGCCTGGGCGCGGCTGGGCCGAGCGGCGCCGTGCTCACCGCGCACCCTCGCTCTTTCCCCAGGCCATCTTGGCGGCCCAGCGGCGCGGCGAGGACGTGGAAACTTCCAAGAAGTGTGGGTATCCCGCGGGGCCGGGCCGGGTGGGGCGGGCTGAGGCGGCGGTCCCGGAGCGGCCCCGGCAGCCGCCGGCACGGCGCCCCTGCAGCTGCCCCGAGCTGCCGCTGCCCAGGGCAGGATCCGCCTGCTTCCTGCTCGGCTCTTGGAACAGCTTTTGTGATCACAGCACTTAAGCTCCCCAGCTTATTGCTTTTGCGAATTTGAATGGCTGCCGATGTTCCTATGGCGCTGCTCTTTAAAAATTCCTTGTTTCTTCTCTGATGTAAGTTGCTGGGTTCTCTCACTGTAGGGAGGCTAGTGTGATGGTTGGAAATAGAGAGATGATCCTTGAAGAAGGTTAATCAGCTTTATTGGGACACTGAATGTCAGAGACTAATGTGAGAGAAAGGATTCAAACTAGTGCTTAAATACGATATTTAACATGAGAGAAAAGAATGTTTTTGAAGCTGTCTTTTAGCAAAGCTAACTACAATTAGACTTTACTTATCAAAGATGTCAGAAAATTGGTTAAAAGCTACTTACTTGGGGTGCCTTATACTGAGCAAGCACAATTCAAGTTCAAGTTCAAGCTCTCTGTGCTGCAGCACAAATACGTGTCTGCAGTAAGGTTAGAGCATTAAATCCTCAATGAAAAGAAGGACTTGTCCTGTCTGGAGGGAAGTTCAGGTGTGAAGTAGGGAAAGGAAGGGCTCTGCAAGGCTAGGTGTGCACAGCACTATGAGCAGGGCTGAGGTTCTCCTGCCTCATGAGCAGGAGAATTGGGTGAGATCAATGCTGGTATGTTAAAATCCTGACAGCGCCCTGGGATCCTGAGCAGCTGAGGGCTTGGGAAAAGGCCTTTGATACTTTCTGGCACAGCTCTGAGCCTTATTTTGTTTGTCCTTGGTTGTTTTTTCCTTCTTGCCTTGAATAACAGGGGCAGCAGGCCAGAACAAACAACACTTCATTACAAAGAACACGGCCAAGCTTGACCGTGAAACAGAGGAGCTGCACCATGACAGAGTTTCCCTGGAGGTGGGCAAAGTGATCCAGCAGGGCCGGCAGAGCAAGGGCCTCACACAGAAGGACTTGGCCACGGTGAGTGGGGCACCTCCGGGTGAGGGTGGGCACCTTTCTGTTCCCTCAGGGGCAGCTGCCGTGGGGTGGTGTCATGGGCTGGAAGTTTGAGGAACGCAGTGTCACTGGTGTCTGATGTCCTGGCAGCTTCAGTTGTCTGGGAAAAGTTTTGAGGTTTGTCTGTGCAGCCCTTGAGTCCCAGGTTGGAGGCAGAGCCTGTCTGAGGCTGCTCCCTTCCTCCTCCCAGCAGCTCACAGCAGCCCTGGAGGTTTGTACCATCTGGGCTGAGCAGTGTTAGCAGCTCCCTGCTGTCTGAAGGAACAGCAGTCCCTGTTCCTCCTGAGAAGGAGGGAGGTCAAAGTCCTTTCAGGATGGATGTTAGCAGCACTGGGACACTTGAGGGAGGTGCCCGTGGGGATGGAGTCAGCCTGGGAACAGCACTTTGTCATCTGTCCTGGCATAATGAGCGGCCATTCCTTATCTGTGTGAGTCCTGGGGGGCTGCTGCTGAGCATTGCTGTGTTTGAGACTCATCCTCTCTTTTCAGAAAATCAATGAAAAACCACAAGTTATTGCTGACTACGAATCAGGACGAGCGATCCCCAATAACCAGGTCATGGGCAAGATCGAAAGAGCCATTGGTGAGTTCAGGGAGACTTCAGAAATACTGCCAGTGCTTGGAAGGGTGGTTTGGGGGAAAGTATTTACCTTCTGCCTGTGAGGAACATTGCTGCCTGGAGTTTATTGTGGGTGTGGTGCCATTAAGCCATGTTCTGATAAAACCTGGATCTGCTGACTGAACCAGAACTGGGAGCTCTTGATCTTTGTCTGCACCTTCATGCCTGCAGCTGTGCCCTGGGGACCATCCCTGTGTGCTTGCCCCCAAAACCTGTGAGATGCTGAGACCCATGGAAGCCTGATTGCACTTGTAGAAGGATTTTGTGTTTTACTCTCCTGGGCAGGTTCAGATCCCATCTGACTGGATTTTGTTTGAAGTGGGTCTGGTGCTCCTAGAAACTAAAGTAGGATTCTCCTGAACTCTGGTTCCCCTGCTCTCTTTCTGGATGTTCTCTTCCTTAAGGCTGAATTTGGTGGAAATAAAAGTTATTGGGTGAATGATTGAGTGCTGATGGTGGTCTCCTTTGTCTTATTCCAGGCCTCAAACTGCGTGGAAAGGACATTGGAAAACCGCTGGAAACTGGCCCCAAAGGAAAATGACAACAAAGCCTCGAAATCAGTTTGCTCAGACTGATCTGCTTCTCCTCAACCACTCTGCATATTGCCAAGCTGAACAAGAGGGTTTCAGACTTGCTTTGGGGGGAAATCTGCTGAATCTGTACCTGCTGTAAAAAGGCAACCTTAAAGAAGCAATTTTCCTGATGTTTGTTTTTCCTTGCTCCTTTTCAGAGATTGAGGATCTAAATCCCAAGAAAAAACCCAAACCCTGCCTCTGATTTGCCAGAAAACATGTACATTGTGGTGTTAGCAGCAGCTGATGTTGAGGCACTTAGGGTGGTCTGAAATGTGAGGATTTAATTGAAACAATTTGGGGAATGGGTGAGATATATTATATATAAATAATAATTTGGGAGAGTTGGGCTTGATCAGAAATGATGACTCAGTCACTGTATCTCAATGAGTTTGGTTTGTTCTTTCCAGCCTGTTTTAAAGAGATCTATAATAAAGTTTGATACCCTTCAGTTGACCAGGGGAGCTGCTGCATGTGACCAGCTGGTAGTAAATGTTGTGGCTGGGTGTGACTGGAGCTGCATCACCTCTTCCTTCTGGGATTGTAATTAAAGGGATGCCTGGGGTGGCTGGGATGAGGGCCAGCACTGTCACAAGCTTCCTGGCTGTGTCATCTCTCCCTGCGTCGGGGATGGTGCAGCTTGGCCAGCAGCCTGGGGCTGGAGGCAGTGCTGTGGGTGCAGGGGAGGCTGTGGGGATCTGCAGAGCCAGGCAGCTGCAGAGACAGCACATGAAGCCTGAGCCCTCTTTGCCCTTCCCTGGCTCTCAGCGCTCTTGGGCCCTCATTTCTGCAAGCAGCACAGGGCTGTGGGGATGGTGCTTGGCATGACTGAGGCATCACCTAAGGGGGCACAGCTGGGTGAGAAGGAGACAGGCTCTGGTCAGTCTGGGAAAGCAGCATGTCCCTCCAGCTGTACATGGGGGCTGGGGAAAGCAGGATACTCCTTGTGCAGGGGCTGAGCTGGGCTGTGTGTGGGGCTGGGTTTGGGGTTCTCAGTGGTAAGGTGTGAAAGCTGGGGGTGCAGGGTGGGGTCCAGTCCCTGAGTCCAGCCTGCACTGGGTTTCCCAGTGACCTTTATCAAGTGCATTCACAAGGTGTGTGGGCAGCATGTGGGCATCTGTACAGCAGAGTGGGAGCTGCCTGCTGCCCTCAGGGGTGCTGTGTGATGTTCCCTCTGCCCCCTGCCCTCCCCCCCACCACTCACCCTCCCCAAAACCAGCAGAAGCACAGAGCTTCCTCCCCCTGGGGTCTCTGTTCCCTGGGAGCTCTTGTGCTTTGTCCTGGGCATGGAAAGTGGCTCACACCCTCTGCAGCACCCACTGCTCTTCCCAGCTCTGGGGACCAGGACCCCACACTTCACCCCCATTTCCATGGCCAGAACTCTGTTTGGATGAGGACAGCCACTGAGAGAACTCTGACTCGTGCCCCCTGCCAAAGCACAGGCGCATTGCTGTGTCTTGTAAGCAAAAAGTTCATGTTACAAACAACA